GGCTGAATTATGTTTTCTATAGGAAAACTTCAATTCAGCCTGGCTGAATTATGTTTTCTATAGGAAAACTTCAATTCAGCCAGGCTGAATTATGTTTTCTATAGGAAAACTTCAATTCAGCCAGGCTGAATTATGTTTTCTATAGGAAAACTTCAATTCAGCCTGGCTGAATTATGTTTTCTATAGGAAAACTTCAATTCAGCCTGGCTGAATTATGTTTTCTATAGGAAAACTTCAATTCAATTCAGCCTGGCTGAATGAGGTTTTCTATAGGAAAACTTCAATTCAATTCAGCCTGGCTGAATTAGGTTTTCTATAGGAAAACTCAATTCAGTCTGGTTGAATAAGGTTTTCTGTAGGAACTCTGCAATATCGCCTAGCTGAATAGGGATTTCTTTAGGGTTCTTTGGGTTCTTTATAGGAAAACTTAAATTCAGGCCAGCTGAATAGGGTTTCCTGTAGGAAATTATGCATGCACCAGTTTTCCATGATCTCTTGATGTCCTAAAAAACCAAGTTATCCTAAATTCTATTCTCTCATCTATAACCCATATCGAGTTATGGAAATTTGCAATTTGTTGAGTCTCATTTACCTTTTTTATTGTTTGTTGTTGTGTATAGACAATATATGCAATTGTGTGTGTGTGTGTGTGAGTGTGCACCTACCACCCACTCATTCAGCGTTTGAAGAGCTCCTTTATTTAATTTATGCCGCTTGTCGTTCTCAACGTCCTACAATCAAAAAACTATTGACACACATTATCTCTGGCGCTTTTTTGTTCTCCTTTTGTATTAATCCTCTCCCCTCCACCTCCGCATTCGTATCCTTATCCTTTTTTCTGCATCATTATGACTTCTATTTGGCTTTTGTTTGTCGTTCCTTTTTTTCTCTAGCTACACACATACATGTATGGTGGGCAGGTTGGATGGTTGACGGACCGACTGACATTTTGTCGTTTGTTTTCCATGCTTGTTTTTTTGTTTTCTTTCTCAATATTGTAAATACCCCAAGTCGTCCTGTGATAAGATATCTTAACATGTTGAAGTGTAAATATTGTCATATGCAAAATTAGTTTGCATTTGAGAGTGAGGAAAGCGTGTAAGTGCGTCGTGTGTGTGTACAGAGCCTGGGTGTGAGTATAATGTGATGAGAACATACTGTATGCAATCACAACTTTAGCCTGTGGACAAAGAGCACGAAGAAAAAGAAAACAAGAAAAGTATAATTACAAGTGTGTGTGTGCACGGTTGAGTGTGCTCCTCCAATAGGGGAAAGCCAAATAAAGACCACTCATCCCACACATCATTTGCATTGCATTGAAGCAGCGTTGGCGACGGACAAAAGCGACGAGGAGAACAAAGCAGAGGAACATATTTACAAGCCAGAAAAAGGGAATACTGGAACAGCTTTATCCATAATGATGTTTATGAAAAGGATAAAAAGCGGTGTTCCTTTCGTTTTTGTTGTTGTTGTTGGTTTTGGAGAATCTGCATTGCTAAGATATAGGTTACACAGTTTCATATTTCCTTTTGTATTTTATTTTCTCTTTTCCATACATTCCCACCATTCACCCACCCAACCATTCTCCCATTGAAATGGCTACTTGTGGCCTGAATGTTTAATAAACATTTGTCATTCTCACTTTTTTTCTCCAGTGACTGTTATTCTTCACCGACACATTTCCCATGCAACAACAACAACAAGAAATCTTGGTTTTGTTTGACTGACTGAATGGACGAACGAACGAATGGTTTGTTGGCTAGCTGGCGGCATGTGTGTTGTTCTTGTTTTTGTTCTTTCTTTTGGTTGACTAAAGAATTTCCGCATCCTCCACCATTATGCCTTTGGAATAATTTGGATTGCTTTAATAATAACTATATATGTGGGTAGATGTGTTATATTGTTCTAAAATATTTTGAATCACTTATTGGGTTTAAAATATTTCATATTTTGGTATGAAACCCCATTCAGCCAAGCTGAATTGATGTTTTCCTATAGAAACCCGAATTCAGCCAGGCTGAATTGAAATTTTCCTATAGAAAAACAAATTCAGCCAGGCTGAATTGAAGTTTTCCTCTAGAAAACCCAATTCAGCCAGGCTGAATTGAAATTTTCCTCTAGAAAAACTAATTAAGCCAGGCTGAATTGAATTTTTCCTATAGAATTCACTCTTCAGCCAGGTTGAATTAAAGTTTTCCTATAGAAAATAGGAAAAATACTAAGTTTTCCTATAGAAAACCCAATTCAGCAAGACTGAATTGTAGTTTTTCTATAGAAAACCGAATTTAGGCGGGCTGAAATGAAGTTTTTCTATAGACAAATCAATTCAGCCAGGCTGAATTGAAGTTTTCCTATAGAAACCCCAATTCAGCCAGGCTGAATCAAAGTTTTCCTATAGAAAACCCGATTCAGCCAGGCTGAATCAAAGTTTTCTTATAGAAACCCCAATTCTGTCAAGCTGAATCAATGTTTTGCTATAGAAAACCCAATTCAGTCAGACTGAATAGAAGTTTTTCCGTCGAAACTCTTATGCCGCCTGGCTGAATAAGTTTTCCTATAGTTAAACTTCAATTCAGAACGGCTGAATAAGTTTTCCTATAGGCAATCTTCAATTCAGACCGGCAAACTTTAATTCATTCTGCTGAATAAGTTTTCCTGTAGAAAGTCTGCATTTCAACCTAACTGAATAAGGTTTGCTGTAAAAAATCTGTAATTCAGCCCGGCGGAATAAGGTTTGCTATAAGAAATCTGTAATTCAGCATAGGTGATGAAGGTTTCCCATATGACATCTGCAATTCAGCCCAGATGAATAAGGTTTGCTATAAGAAATCTGTAATTCAGCCCGGCTGAATTAGGTTTTCCATTCAGTTATACTGTTTTATATTTGCTTACAAAAAATGTTCTACTGCTAAACCATTAACCGAACATTATTTTATCAGATTTGGACACCCTTGTGAATTCAAATCATCCATTGTATGGTCAATTGAACTTTGGCACAGTAGGATAAATCCCAATTTTCGTTCAGCTGTTTGACTTATGTTTATAGATCCAAAAAATCCACTTTTATAAAATTCCTATGAAGTTTTTTTTGAATAAAAAATACAATATAAATTTCAAAAAAAAAAAATAAATAAATAAAATATTTACCCAACTCACAAGTGTTTTAAAAATTCTCTTGCTGCTGCTGTGCCTGTCTGTGACTGAGTGTGTGTGCGCGCCACACACATTCTAATAATTCATTAGGGACTGTTTAGGCAAAGTGTGGCCGCCTGCAGTTCCCAAAACCGTAACAACAACAACGTTGCCTATCTTGGCAATGAAGAGTAACAAATAACAACAACAACAATGTGCTGGAAAATATTTTTTATTTTGTTTGAAGTTTTAAAACGTTGTGTCACAAAACGCCCCATTTAACCAAAAAATTATTTCGATAACCACGTCGAACATCATCAGTAGGTGAAACGACTATCAAATCGATAAAATAGTTTTAAATCAAAACCATAATAATTACATTATTAAAAAGGGAATAAAAAACAATTGTTGTTGTTTTTTTTTTTAATGAAACAAAAATAATTGTTTATCGCATCTGAAAAAAAATTGTATTCTTGTAGTGAGTGCGTAATTGTGCGGTCTATTTATTTTTATTTTAAAAATGAATTTTCTTTCCATAGTGGACGCTGAACGCGAGAACAATCACCAGAAAATAATATTTGCAATAATTTATTAAAGTGTTCTTCTTGTTGATTTCAAAAAAAATAAATAAATAAAATAAAAAACATAAGTGTGTTTATAAATAATCGACAATAATAAAATAATAGTTTAACCATGGTGTATTTAATAAGGTGTAAGCATAAGCTACAACAACAAATGCTATAAAAAATTCAAAATTGTTCTTATAGAAATCAAATTATCATGCTGAGAGTTAATTTTTGATATAAATAAACAAACCTAAATAAATATAAACCATTGTTGTGGAATAATTCCTGTAGGAAGCCCTATTCAGCTGGGCTGAATTGAAGATTTCCTATTGGAAACCCTGTTCAGCAAGGCTAAATTGGAAACCCAATTCAGCCAGGCTGAATTGAAGAATTCCCATTGGAAACACTATTCAGCAAGGCTAAATTAAAGTTCGCCTATAGAAAACCCTATTCAGCCGGCCTGAATTGAAGATTTTCTATAGGAAACCCCATTCAGCCAGGCTGAATTGAGAAGTTCCTGCAGGAAACCCTATTCAATAAGTCTGAATTGAAGATTTACTATAGGAAACCCCATTCAATTAAAGATTTCATATAGGAAACCTTATTCAGTAAATCTGAATTGAAGATTTACTATTGTAAACCTTATTCAGCCAGGCTGAATTGAAGAAACCCTGTTCAGCTAGGCCGATTTGCAGATTTTCTATAGAAACCCGACATTTAGCCAGGCTGAATTGAAGATTTCCTATAAGATACCTCATTCCGCAAGGCTGAATTGAAGAACTCCTATAGGAAACCCTATTCAGCTGGCTGAATTGAAAATTTTTATAGGTAAACCTATATTCAGAGAAAGATTTAATATTGGAAACCCAATTCATAGAATAGAAGTTTTTATATTGGAAACCCTATTCAGCTGGGCTGAATTCAAAAATTTTTATAGGTAGATGTAACTCTATATTGAGAAAGATGGAAAAGTACATTCTGAGTCATTTCGGGATATTATAGTAAAAAAATTCAACAACTAAAAATAAGCAGCGAACAGCTGATTGGGAAATACAGCTGATCGTTGTTGACATTTGTTAGAGTAGAAGAGAATTTTAGTTTATCACACAAGGCTGCCACATTCCCGTTTTCCTAAATAAAAATTATTATATATGTATATATTTTTTTTTAATATATATTATTTTTTTTTTTATTTTCAGCTAAACATGTTGGCGATATTTAAATAATAAGAAAATCTTCAACCAACGCAATTTTCCTCCCCATTTAACGAAACGAATAAAAATCGCAAATCCGGTTTCATCAGCTAACAATGAGACGTCCAAAGATATCGTTAAAAAAGTATTTTTACTTTACAATAATATGTGCGTTATTGTTGATATTTTTATATAATTTTAAGTAAGTAAAACACAAAATATATAAATATTAAAAATTTTCACTTCGTAATTTTAAACGAACACACCTAATGTTCACACACACCATATTATTATTTTACCCGAAAAAAATATTAAAAATCAAACCGGAAATAAATCAGCATACAATTTATCTTATCTTCAGAAAAAATCGTTTATCTAATCTCTTCTAAATATTCTCCAAAATAATATTTTTAAATTTAACAGAGAACGCGATGTATGGAAATCGAAAACTTCGGCCCAATCATCATCGGCATCATTGCTGCAGCAACAGCATCATCAACAACAACACATTGAACCGAATCAAGCCGATGATTATAATGATAAATATGATGACGATGCGGATACGGAAAAATCGGCCGATAATGAAAATACAAAAATTACAACAACAAAAACAACACACACAGATCATCAAAATGATGCCACGGCAGATAGTGGTGAACAGCAACCACAATCGCAACAACAGCAGCAACAATCACAATCATCATCGAATGTGCTGCAAGCGCCACAGCAGCAGCAACAACAACAAAATCCAATAGCTTCCGACAATATGGAACCCCTGCCACGACCATGGTTCTTCAAGGATGGCGACTATTATCCGAAACCAGCAAAAATCCCCAAAAAACGTCGTGGCAAAAAAGCCCATTTACAGGGTTCCAAACTATTCCCCTATCAGGATCCGCACAGTGATCGCATTGTCAATCAACTGATGTATGTACCGCCCAATTATGAAGAGATCAAATCGAGTGGTAAATTGAAAACGATATTGTTGTATAATGGTCTGGGACCATGGAATGTGAAAGCAGGTAGGTGAAAATCGACATTTTTGGGAGATGGGATTTTATTTTTTATTTCTTCGTTTTAGGTCGTGATGTCTTCCTACGCTCCAAGTGTCCTGTGGACACATGTACCATAACAGCCTCACGCGATCAAGCCAATACAGCCGACATGATTTTATATAAGGATCATTATATACCGACGGGTATTAGACGGCCAGCCAATTCAAGACAGGTCACCATGCTGTATCATTTGGAGTGTCCATATCATACACAAAATGTCAAAGTACCGGATGCTGTCAATTGGACGGCAACATATAGGTAAGTCTGGGGCCCTATTCTGCCAGGCTACGTTAAATAATTCTTTAAGGAAACCTTATTCAGCTATGCTGAATTGAAGATTTCCTATAGGGAACCCTATTCAGCCAGGCTGAATTGAATATGTCCTGTAGGAAATTCAAGATTTCGTATAGGAAATCTTATTCAGCCTTGCTGAATTCAAGATTTCGTATAGGAAACCTTATTCAGCCTGGCTGAATTGAAGATTTCCTATAGGAAACCTTATTCAGCCAGGCTGAATTGAAGATTTCCTATAGGAAACCTTATTCAGCCAGGCTGAATTGAAGATTTCCTATAGGAAACCTTATTCAGCCAGGCTGAATTGAAGATTTCCTATAGGAAACCTTATTCAGCCAGGCTGAATTGAAGATTTCCCGTAGGAAACCCTATTCAGCCATGATGAGTTGAAGATTATCTAAAGGAAACCTTAATCAGCCAGGCTGAATAATGTTTCCTATAGGAAATCTTATTCAGCCAGGCTGAATTGAAGATTCCCTATAGAAAACCTTATTCAGCCAGGCTGAATTGAAGATTTTCTGCAGAAAATTCAAGATTTCGTAAAGAAAACCTTATTCAGCCAGGCTGAATTGAAGATTTCTATAGGAAACTTTATTCAGCCAGGTTTCTATAGAAAACCTTATTCAGCCAGTCTGAATTGAAGATTTCCTATAGAGAACCTTTTTCAGCCAGGCTGAATTGAAGATTTCCTTAAGGATTTCCTACTGGAAACCTTATTCAACCAGGCTGAATGGAAGATTTCCAAAAGGAAACCCTATTCAGCCGTTTTGATTATTTGTACATTTATTTGTTTACATGTTCTCCCATTTCTCCCATTGAACCTAACCTCAACAACACCTCAAGGCGTGATAGTGATATTGTGGCGCCCTATGAAAAATGGCAATACTATGACAATCGTATACGCCAGCAGGAGCAAGATCGTAATTATGCTGCCAATAAAACCAAAAAGGTGGCCTGGTTTGTGTCGAATTGTGGGGCGCGGAATGGTCGTCTGCAATTTGCCCATGAATTGGGCAAATATATTGATGTAAGTCCACTCCCAATATCCTTTTTTAGATTTGGGTACTCATTATTTTTTTTGTATTTCCAGGTTGACATTTATGGAGCCTGTGGCAATTACAAATGTTCCCGCGTCAATGCGGACAAATGTTTTGAAATGCTCGATCGTGATTATAAATTCTATTTGGCCTTTGAGAATTCGAATTGTCGGGATTATATAACGGAGAAATTTTTCGTCAACGCTCTGAATCGTAACATTCTGCCTATTGTAATGGGTGCACGCCCAGAGGATTATGAAGTTAGCGCACCACAGCGTTCATATATTCATGTCGATGAATTTGCTTCCGCATCAGAGTTGGCGGATTATCTGCATATACTGGACAACGATGATAAGCTATATAATTCGTATTTCAATTGGAAGGGGACTGGAGAATTTATAAATACCTATTATTGGTGTCGGGTGTGTGCTTCGCTGCACGATGAGGATTCGTTGAAAAAACCGCGATGGTATACCGATGTGAATGATTGGTGGCGTGGTGCCGGTGTCTGTACAAATGGTTCATGGCGTAATTTTAAGGCCCGCAAAGATGTAATTACCGATGATTAAAAGCGGAGGAGGAGAAGAAGCAGATCATGATGAAGATCACAATAATGGTAAAGGTAAGTAAGGGCTGGTGGACTGATTATGGTATTTTATAAGGGGTGCAAAAGTCTATAACAGAGAGGAGACTTGCCGGCCGTGTGTTATAAATCAAATTGCAAGGATAAAAACAAACGCTTTCGCGCGACCCTGTAGTAAAACCCAATCGAAAAACAAATCTAGTTATTTTTACCAAAAAAATGAAAAACAAAAACCAAGTTATGTAAAAAGAAATCTGTAAAACCAAAAAAAAAAATTAGTCATTAAGTCAAGAATTTTAAGTTTTTAGTTAACATAATTGTTCCCCACTCCCAAAAACAACCCTGAAATCAACTCCAAAGTTTCTAAATATGGCTTCAGCTTCAGCCAGGTTCCATGATGACGAGACCATATGTATTTGAGACATGGGGTCTAAATACATCGCTGTTGAACTATTCAATTCATGAACTGGATGAGGCTTCGGTTGAAGTCAATTCAAGATCATTGCCCACAACGTTACTGGCTGACTGGCTTTCTCCCTCCACACACCGCTCTCGTCATATTTGTATGCGTAGTCTAAGCTCGTGTGTCCTCTTCTTTGGAATAGCCACAGGTTCTTATTCCTTGTGCTCCAACGGACACGGATTTGGTGACTGGTCTCTTCAACACTCCCTCTTATGTTTTTACAGTCACTACTCTTACCACTCCATCTTTTGCCTGGATGGACATCTACAACCTTCGCCAATGGCCACCATGCCGTGTGCATTTCCTCATTTCTCAAAATCACCACTTGATCTATTTCAATATTCTTCGTTTGCTTCTTCGACTTTGTAAAGTATTTAAATAATCATCCCTCCTTCCATCTTCTCCAAAAAAGATTCTTTATTCTCTGGATTAGCTTCCATCTATTAACATATCCCAGATCTCCTTCACGAGTTTCCTCATTTCTCAAAATCACCACTTGATCTATTTCAATATTCTTCGTTTACTTCTTCGACTTTGAAAAGTAGTTAAATACTCCTCCTTCCATCTTCTCCAAAAAAGATTCTTTATTCCTGGTGTTAAAGTGTCGATGTACTCCGTACTGCTCCCTCAGCTCGTGTAGCGGCCTTGAATTTAAGACAGCTTCGATCTGAGCTAACACCGTACTTAGTTCCTCATATGCTCAGCTTCGTATCACCCATTATTCGCCTCAGATGATACTTCAGTGATTTCACCGCGGCTTTCCAAATACCTCCAACATGAAAAGCTGCCGATAAACTGACACTTTATTTGCTGATTTTCTAAAATGGGAGCCAGCTTGACATTATTTTTAACCGCCTCTACAAAGTCTCGATCCAACTCCCTTGCCGCCCCCAACGAAGTTGGTTCCGTTGTCCAAATATAGATCGCTCGATTTACTCCAACAAGTTCATGCTACTCCTCCCAACGCACAGGAAATATTTTTAAATTAAAAACAAAAATATTTTGATGACTGACCGACAAAAATTTATGTCCTCTCCCTCCTCCTCCTTCCTTATCCTTTCTAATAAAAATTCCAATATTCGCCATTATTTTTTTTTTATTTAAATAAAAAATAAATATTTCTGTAAATAGCTTCTTTGAGAAAAAAAAACTAACAAAAAAACTAATGCTGCTGGTTTTTTGCTTAACAAATTAGAATACGCAACAACAACAAAATGCATTCCAAGAAAATCCTTTTTTGTAGAAAACAAGGCTTTTTTAACAAAAAAATATGAAGCAAAAGAAAAAAGTATATTACGAAGAAAAAAAGAAAGTATTTAAAATTTAGCGATTTTTGTAAAACTGGGTCAGAGCAGATTTAACGCAGCAGAAAGTTCCTCGCCTCGGTAGTGACCTTCCCCTTCTGCGTGAACCATCAGCTGGTTCGCTTTTATATGCATTTTGGGCTGGGGAATCTTCATCCATTCTCGCAACACGACCTTACCAACGTAGTCGCTGCCAGTTATAGTTATCCTATCATAGCCGTATTAATTTTGCAGAATATTCACCGTCAACACAGACATGGTTTTAAACACCTTTCTGAACGGATATGGCTGTCGAATCTGGCTTTATAGCAGGATGTTAAACAGGTCACACGACAAACTGTCACCTTGTCTGAATCCTCGTTCGGTATTAAAGTTCCTTTCCGACTTGCGAACTGCTAACATTGTGTCAGTTAAGTTAGCATGCATAGCCTGCATGGTGGATTTGCCAAGTAGGTCTGAAGTCCAATAAGGTCCATTGACCTCAGGATAGCACTTTATATGCGATGAAGAGATTTATTCCTCTACAGTTGTCACATATAGTCTCCTTTTTTATGCACGGGACACAGTATGCTGAGATTTCCATCATTGGGCATGCATTCCTCTAGCAAAATTGTACTAATCAACTGCATGCATGCTCCTGACCAGCATTTGACCACCTGTCTTGAATAGTTCGTTCGGCTGGCAACCGACACCTGCTACTTTATTGTTCTTCAGCCGATTAATTGCTACTCTGACCTCATCCAGTTCAGATAACCGCAGCTCGTCGGTATAAGAAATAAATAATACGGTGATCCCGACCGACCGTTTATGTTGAGTGGTTGGCACTGATTTTATTGTAAAATATTTATCCTTAGGTACTACTAAAACTAATCTAATAATAGAATTTGATCTGTGGGAGTTTTCCCATCGTAGGATTTTAAACTCTTACCTTAAAACACCCCAACGATCGATCAAATCTTCTGTAGCACAAAATTCTGTTCAAAGTATTTTGAATTTGTGGTTCTTGGTTATCATCTTCACCGCCACTGTTTGATACCAGAAACATTGCAAAAAGGTTTCTTGCAGATCCTCAACACGCTATCTGTCGTCATATTCATCTCTACAGGAGGATGTGCCTGCACAAAAAAGCCGTCGATTTGGTTTTACTTGTTGGTAAAATTCAATTACTTTAAGGAACTTTAATACACCTAAAATGAGACGGGTTATTTATAAGGGTGTAATTTCAAAAAAATTGACCTACCTCCGCCTCCGTTCATTATTTTATTTCTTATATGCCTGCACCAAAAAGCCATCGATTTGGTTTTACTCGTTGGTAAAATTTGCGGACTTCATTCTGACTCCTGTACATTTCGAGGTGACTTATTTCACATTCAGATAAAATAAATTGCCAAATTATCAGCACTTCGGTTGGAAATTACTTTAAGGAACTTCAATACCCCTAAAATGAGACGGATTATTTATTAGGGTTTAATTTCAAAACATCGACCTACCTTCCAGGTGAGTTATTTCACCTTCAGAGAAAACGAATTGCCAAATTATCGCCACTTTGGTTGGAAATTACTTTAAGGAACTTCAATCTTCACCTAAAATGAGACGGATTATTTACAAGGCTGTAATTTAAAAAAATTGACTTACCTCCGCCTCCGTTCATTATTTTATTTCTTACATACGCCCCAAAACTGCTTAAATCTGCTACCACCCAGTGTATATAATTTGTATTAAATTTTTATTTCTCTCTAACAAAAATCAAATCAAATTCTTTCTCTTGCAACACTCGCATATTTAACAAGAACAACAAATAATGTAATACTACAACAAATCTCTCTCTTTTTTATACAAAAGAAAAAAACAATGAAAAAGCGATATATAATAATTAATTATTAACAAAAAAAAAACAATATGTATTCCTAACTATGTTGTATTATTACTAAGTTATTAATGATTAAAAAAAAAACATTTTTTATGTGTGTGATTTTTATTAAGTATATATATATGTATATTTATTTATGTATTTTTGTTAAATATTAAGCAGATCGCAGTTAAAAAAATACTGTAATTTTGTATGTAAGCAAACGGCTATTATTTTCAATTGTTTTTTGTGTACAAATTAAATTTTTGTTTTATTTTTAATTTGTATTCTTTGTTGTCGTCTCTATATATGTAAATTTAAAGCAATAGTCATATATATTTATATTTATATATATTTATATATGTGTTAATTATTTATTTATTATTTTTTACTGTGATAAATGAAGAAGATGAATAAACAAAACAAAACAAAAAACGAATAAACATAAAGAAAATAAAAGTTTATTAAAAAAAAACAAATTTCGTTTTGATTGATTTTATTATGGTATATTTTCTGGATCTGATAAACATACAACTACAACCCAGGGTAAAATAATACAAGATAAAGCTGCCTTCGAAATAACAAATTCCTATTTGCAATTCAAAACCTAAACTTGTGTTATTGTACCGTGTGGGGGAACTATATTACAAATACTGTTAAATTGAGAAATTGTAAAAACAAAGACAAAACAACAAAATATGGTTTTATAAAAAATGGAAGTGAAATCAACAAAAATATATATATCGGATTAAACCTGACATTGTTGTAGTTGTATTAGGAGATTTTTCAAATTATTAGCCTGTGCCGAGGTGGCACATCCCACAGTTGCAGCAGCCACAATTTTGGCGGCAATTTTACGTTTTAGAGCAATGGCTTCTACTTTTTTGGAAAGCTGAAAAGAGAGGAAGACAAACGAAGGAGAATGTTATAACTTATAAAAAAAAAATCCTTAAAAAAATACAACAAGGACCTAGAAAGTACGTCAAAAGGGAAGAAACTTTTACAAGGAGGGCTATTTCAAAATATTACCCTATATTAAAAAACCCTGTCGAGAAGTATATGATACTCTGAAACCTGAAATGCACAAGTACAACCACTACAGGACGTTTAGAACCTCAAAAATGCCTAAAACAAAGCGGGATTTGTATAATTGTATATAAACAATTTTCTATCATACTTACTTAGCTGGCTTATAATAAAAAAGAAGTTCCATAAGCCGAGCTTAAAAAAAATTTGCAGGCGCCTTGGAAATCTTTCTGACTATGCCGATGTCTAAGAATAGATTATATAGCTCATGATTCCGTATAATTCGATTACATTCTTCTCGTGCATAAATAAACCAATTTTTTGCGAACTACTTCCTTTGTACCAGCATGAAGATAAGCTATAAATTAAAAAAAATACTTACAGCATAGGCTCTCTTTATTATACCATGAGGCATTCCAGCCAATTTGGCAGCATTAAAACCATACGATTTGGGACAAGCACCAGCTGTATATTTATATAGGAATGTAACCGTTTCTTGGGTAGGATCTTCGGTATCCTCATTTTCCACCATGCAGACCTAAAAAAGAAAACGAAATATATGTTATTTTAAATTATTATACAATGATTTTCTTTTTGATGTTTTTTTAAGAAATACTGGTGTTAAAATACTCACCATATGGCCCAAGGTAATACGTTCATCATTGTGGAAGAAATCAATTAAATTGTGATAATGGGTTGAAAACAGCGTGCGACATTTAAGATCTGCCAAAAAGTTAACAACAGAAGCTGCAATTGCTGTGCCATCATACGTAGCAGTTCCACGACCTGAAAACAAAGAAAAAAACATTTAAATTCCATAGCAATTCTTTAAAACTAACAAACCTACCCAGTTCATCCAGCAACACCAAACTATTTGCAGTGGCATGTTTCAAAATCAACGATGTCTCATTTAATTCAACCAAAAATGTTGAATGACCCGATAAAATATCATCCTGGGCCCCCAATCGTGTAAATATACGATCGACCAATGATAAACGACAACTTTCGGCCGGTACATGGGCACCAATTTGTGCCATAATAGTAAGTAAACCAACTTGCCGCATTAATGTACTTTTACCACCCATATTTGGTCCGGTAAGCAATGACAATGCAGGGGTCGCATTACAACCCAATGCTATGCCATTTGGTATATATGTATCCGAAGATACACATGGATGATAACCTTCTTCGATTTCAATAAATGGTTGTTCACCCTCTTCGAGTATTACCAACTCGGGCATACACATTGATGTCGATTGGGTCCGGGCATATTCAGCTAATGAGGCGAGAACATCTATTTCTGCCACACAATCAACACATTGTTTCCATAGCTGGTAGTGTTGGGAGAATTTTTCAAATATACGTCGTGACAAATCTTTCAAGATGGCATTACGTTCATCTTCGGCATTTAACATGCGTTTGAGTAAGGACTGAAGAGATAGAAGAAAATTGAAAATTAGTTTTCTTTAACATAGATAATTAAATGTGTTAAAAAATATACCCTTGTCTCTTCGGTGGTATAACGCCTTGACGGTTTGGCGCCCTTCTTTTGACCCTCCAGAGAATATTTACTATTAACCTTGCGTGCATTTGCCTCGGGAATTTCCAATTGATAACGTTTACGTTCCGCCCCGAAATAGACCACACGACAACCAAATAACTTTTCCTGTTCAATGCGATATTCTTCCAATTCATCTTTGATTTCTTGAATTTTATCCTCAACCCGATCATAATCTTCATCGACACCTCGTTCTGGGGCAATAACACCACTTTCAGAGGCTTTGGCATGATCAAAGGCTTCCTAAAAGATTCGAATTTTGAAATATGGAATTTATTTTACACCTTTTCGTATCATACCTTAAAGAAAGTCAACTGTTTGGATAGATTAGGAAAAGCTCCACCATTATTGCTGTTTTGGGTTAAATGTTTCAACAAACTGCAAGATACCCCCTCAAACATATTGGGTATTTTTAGTAATGTCTCAAATCCCTTGAGTATAGCAATAAAATTCTGTAAAGAATATAAAAAATAGAAAAATTAAATTAAAAAATAAAATAAATAATAATAAAAAATTAAGAAGTAAATTAAAAAATTTACCTGAATATTCTTCTTATTATATTGTTTCGCCTCAAAGAGTATAGCCCTACCATCGGGATGTTTTTCTTGCACCAATTTACTTCCAAAATGATGAAATTGTGCCAAATATCTTTCAAAATCTGGCAAGGGAGCCATTAAACCCCTTATCTCTTGCAATAAACTTGAATTTTTCAAAAATTCAGCAATTGACAATTGACGATCTTTTATCACGCCCAAATTACACGATGGAGCACATAGCCAATGATGCAGCAGACGTTTACCAAATTTCGTACAACATTGATCCAATGTAGATTGTAGGGAATGCTCTTCACCAGTTATGCGTAAATTCATTAACGTGGTGGCATCCAAAACCATATGGGCACGTTGCATAGCTTGGACTTTCTTTGTGGGAACATTGGCGGCCACCACACTATCGTTTAGCATATCTGGTGGCTCATACAAATGATATCTGGCCATGGGTAAAACTTTCTCAGCCACTTTACATTTTTTCATGTAATTAATACACAGACCCAAGGCCTTAAGAGCCAATCTGGCCTGACGATGTGGTGTTAGGCCCAAATGATCGCAGTCATCTTGCATGGTTCGCAAAACGACTGGCCAATTATCACCATCACAGGCATAATAATTCTCAGCCAATTCCTTAAGAGTTTTCTCCGGAGTACTTTGTTGACTACCATTGGCAGGCATATATTCTTTTAATACACCGCTCAATACTGTTCTCATGATGTCCTGTGTCTGTTCACCAATATTGGACTTTTCCAATACCACCAAAACTGGCATGTGATGCGACAAAAGGGTATGTAAACGTGAACAATTCTTGTCATCATCAAATTCACCCAAATAGCAGTCACCTATCGAAGTGTCAATGAAACAAATGCCATAACTACTGGTGCCACCCGCCTGATGTGGTTTCTCCACAATGGCCAGCATATAACTGGTTTGATAATTCGGTGTAATACTACACTGTGAACCAAATACCCTAGTGCCCCGATTCATTACTTGGCAAATTTCACGTTGTACAACCTTGTCGAATTTTGTGGCCTTAATACGTTTACATCTTTCGGTCATCATATCGGGAGTTTCTGTCTGTTCCACACGGGCCACTTTATAACCACGTTCCACCAACACCGAGGCCATTTTGTCAAATGATATTTCCGGGAAACCGGAATGGGCAAATTCACCACGCATATACGTGAAACCCAATTCATTGACACCCACATCAGCATCCATGTGATAAAGCTCATAGAATTTGCCAACTTTAAAGAACAAAACGCAATCATAATTATCCGATTTGAGGACCCACCATTGACGAACGCCCTGTGAATACAATGAAAGCAAAAGCAATTGAATTTATGAATGAAAAAATTAAAAAAAAAAAAAACATTTATCTTACCGGCGACAATGAATCCAAAAAGTCCTTTGGCACATGTAACGTAGAACCATCATAGTCCGGATGATCGGGTCGACGGCCTTGTTTATCTTTTATTTTGTCAGGTTTTAAAAATTCTAATTTCTGATGAGGCCATATGACCGGTTCATCAAGTGTCGAAGTTGTAACAATTTCCTCACATTTGGCTTCCTGGGTTTTGCTAGTTTTACAATCGTCAGATGATTGTAGTTGTTGCAATTTTTCAGCAAATGTACCAGACACCAGGGAGGCATCCAATTTTACCTTTTTGGATTTTGGTTCATCTTTGATTTTCAGCTGGAAGAAGGAAAAATAAAAAAAATTATATACATTTTATCCCCCTTAACCATGACACACACACAAACTACAATTTAGGGATACATACGTTTTTCTTCTTGGGCGATGGAGATGCTGACGAAGAAGAAGCTTCATCTTCGTCCTCCTCATCCTCATCCGAGGCATGAAATGATGAATCATCTTTGCCCTTCTTTTTCGTTTTCGGCGAGGACTCCTTAGCATTGTCCTGCCCCTCCTCATCGGAATCCACCAACATCAAACGTTTACGTTTCTTTTGACCAACAACCACATCTTCCTCATCATCGGATACATCCATTTTCTGGCCAGGTTTCTCTTCATCCTTGACATTACCATTATGGGCCTTTATATTCTCCTTGTCAATCGATTTGATTTCTTCCTCATTGTTATTGTTTGTTGTTTTTATGATTTTCTTTTGGCTCGCCGGCGAGCTAAAATATTTAAATAAAGTATTCTTTGGAGAATTTCCAACATCCTTGGATAAACTTGAATTTAATTTTTTAGACATTTTAAGGGAACACGGACGCAGTAGGATAGTCCGCAAAAATATGTTTGCAAATGATGCAAAACAAGGCGCCAAACTTTTTCTGCCGCCTTTTCACCGATTACAGAAATATTGAAAAACGTTCCAACTATTAAGAATGGGATGGGATAAGACAAAATGTCCGATAAAGAAAAAGTCAAAGAAGAAGACAGAAAGTTACGAATGAGGTGGGGAGACTAAAAAGGAGTTGGATTGTTTACGAATGGTGTGAAGCGAAGCAATAACAACAGGGTGATACGGAGAAAATACAATTAATATAACAATGATAAAGACAAGCGGATCAGAGAGAATTGTTATAATTGAAACAAATAATAACAATTCATTATGAAAATAACAAACAGCAATTTGTCCTCTACTACATTTTTAGATAATTAATTTAATAGGCAGTTTATTGAGTTACATACACTTTTGCCATTTTAATGTGTAACCCTGTGTTGAGAATAGGAGAAGCAATACAGGGTTACACCGAGAAAATAAAATTAATACATCTATCATATATTGGGAAGAAGGGAAGAACCAGAGAGAATGGTTATACATTTAATAACAAATAATAACATAATTTAAAAACTCTTCCCTATTTCATCGCTCTCTTTTTCATATGACTAAAAACTTTTGATAGTTATTTTGTTATAAGTGTGACAATACAGTTGATATTTTAATGTGTAACCCTGTCATCACTCAGCAGTACATAAGCATTAAAGGGTGACAACGAAAAATGATAGACGAAGTTGTACAGGATTACACCGAGAAAATAAAATCCGAGTAATTGGTTATTAATTAAAAAAAGAAATATTTAATATAAAAGATAATTATTAATTCTCTCTCTCTTTTGCTTCACCCATATTTTACTTAATGAGTAGTTTTGTTAGTTACAAAAGTGTTGCTATTTTAATGTGTTGCCCTGTCATCACTCAGAATTACAAAATCAATATAGGGTGACAAAGAGATATTATTGGAGGGTCTATACAGGGTTACACCGAGAAAATAAAATAAATACAATAATGAAAGAGGAGGGGTAGAATCCATGTCATTAGTTATAAATTTAATAAATATATAATAATTTACAAACTCTCTCCTTAGCTCTCTTTTTATGGTTAATTTGTATGATTTTTTAATATTTTAAGTTCTGTTTAAATTTCAATATTGGTCCATGATTAGATATAACTCCCATATTATGATACAGCATAGGTTTCCATATTTTTAGATTTTAGAAAAATTACCCATTAAGAGTGGCTAAAATTGGTCAAGAAACGCCAAGTTCGGGTTATTATTTTCTATCGAATGAGATCTTTATATTTATATTATCTTTATATGACGCATTTATAATTGCAATATATTTGCTAATTGTCGTGGTAGCAGTCCTATTGCTGTCTGGTAGTTGTCTGTTTTAGATGTCAAATTTCTGTTAAATGTGTCTTTAGAAAATGTTATCCAAATTTTTTATAATAAATTGAAATTTTATATACATATGATTTTTTAATTTTCTTCGATTTATTTTTAATTATAGTTTTAACAAAACATGTAAATAGGTATTATTAATGTATATAACATTTGTTTGCTATTTTATTATTAATATATTTACACCAAAAAATAATAAATTTGATTTTAACAATACAGAACACAACACTTTTTAAGGTAGGTATTCGCAAAAGGGGAAAAACAAACAACAAAAGAGAAAAAACAATAACACTGTAAAGCTTTGTAAATAGATAATACATCAAAAAATTTGTGCTGTTACTTTTTGAAGGTCACATGTTTTGTTTTGTTGTAAACTTTTTTAAGGCACCTGCTGACTACTCAGCGAGTCAGCTGAATTCAAATACGCATTAAAGTGGAATATAATGTAAATATGAATAAGATACTGATGGAATTATTGAACCCTTCAAAGGGAGGGGGTGACATGCTTACAAACAAAAAAATGATAAACAACAACGACGACGACTGCATCAACCACCAATAATCCAGCGATTGGTTATAATTCCAACTTTGGGAATTATTTTCGTTGGGTACTTATTTGTTGTTGTTCGTTTAATAATAAGTAATGTCGATGGTGTCTTCAATGGGATTGCCCCATTCCTTGGCAATAATCATGATTTCGTTCATCGATAGTTTAGGGCCAATCAAGGGGTTCATTTGAGTCATATAACAACAGAGCCAGCTATAATGAAAACAGAGGAAGAAGATAAAGACATGAACCTTGAGACAATTCCAATTGGAAAACAAATGCGCAACTTACAACAACCAACAGGTGGCAGCGGTCAACATAAGGCAACATTGGGTAATGCTAAAGTATGGGGGTGTGGTAGGAAATTAATTAAGAAGAAACAAAATTATCAAATTATCCATGTAATCATAATCGCACACAAAAACTCACCCTTTGTTTGGGCCTCTGGCAAAGAAGGGGCAAATGATGCCAATAAATGCCCAAATACAGGTAATGATGGTGGGTGCAACGTAAGCTTCAACCATTTTGTTGTTTTTTTAACTTTTAATTTTGCAAGCAACACAAAAAAATCGAAGAAAAAATCAAAAAAACTACAAGCCAATCGACAAAAAACAACCGAACAAAATAAAAAGTTTTTTCTGTCACAGTGGTCAGGCTGTCGTCGTTGTCACATGATTAAGATGCCGTGTTGCCACACTGAAGAGTAATTAGAGGAGTAACATAAGGGGAGCAACTTGAATGAGAGCGTATGACAAAATGATAACATATGGGCTAATGTGGAAATTGACATGAAAATTATTAATTTTTAATGGAGGTAGTGTAAATGAAAAATGAAAGGAAAATCAGAATGTTCTAAATATATATTATTTCGATTTATTTGCTAAAAGTAGATTTACATATACGATTTTAAATTTACTCCATTACGGCGCGTTTAGACTATGCGTTGTAGATCGACTCGATTTCTAAATCTAAATATCAAATCTAACTGTGTATTAAAATAAAATGAAGTTGATTTATCAGCTGTTGTTTGTTAACGTATACATACACATTTCGGTGCTTCCATGATTTCTGTGGCATTTTTTCAATCAATATTCTCATAATTTTGTTAGGAATTGGTCTCTATTTGGTTAGAAATACATAAAAACTGTTGTCGTTCTAAATTATTGTAATATTTATTATGAATGCAAACAAAAAATAAATTTTCAGCAGTTGACATATTTTTGTCAGGCAGTTACTTTGAATATTAACAATTTTAAAGCATACTTTAGGGAGAAAATATTATTTTTTTGGGACAAAAACAGGGTTGTATTTTAAATTATCTCGATTTAATATAGGATTTAGAGCACTTCGAGATATTGAGTGGACTTAATTTTGTATGGTAAATCGAGGTAAATTCAGCTAATTTAATTGCAAAATTGAGATAATACACTTTATCACGCTAAAATCTATAGTCTAAACGCTCCTTTAACAAAATACATTCTAAAGACCCATTTAAACCGAACGTGGTTTATGATAAGTATTTTCCAATCCCCTATTTAAATTATAACCAAAAATTGTCTAGACTTCTAGTTGTCTGACGAATTTGAACCAAAATACTAAAAGTGCTTTTAGACTTACGATTCCACTCGATCTCAAATGTCAATTCGATAGTGTATATGTCAAATATAATCCACTGGATTTGTGAACAAGATTAAAGAACATTTACATATCCGATTTTAAATCGACTCGATTAACGAAATCCCGAAATACACTCAAATTGTTAACACATAACTTTAACCCTGCCGCACTATGATTTTAATTTGTATGTATAAATTTAGCCAGATTAAGAAAATAAACCACGTCTAAATGTTATGTAAATCAGCTTCTGAGGTCTAACCCGATATTTCAATTCGCCATTTTTTAATCGCATAAAAGTTTACATTTTAGATATACATATATACATATCGCAGTAGGACATTCGATAGTGTGTTCAGCTTTAAAATTAGCTTTCTTTTATTTTAAGTTGCATTAAATTTTCTTTAATTTTGTTCTTATTTAAATATAAAAGATTTACTTCTTTCATTTTAAAAGCTGAAAAATATGAAATTGTCCTTCAAATGAAAGAAATGACATTCAAAAACGTGTAATACCGCCTTCTTTACACTTATCTGACAACTTGCTATCTTTTTACGGAGTTTTCTGTAATATTTACTTTATCATGTTTTATTTTGCACACAATTTCAATAAAATATATGTCAAAGGTATAAAAGAATGTCAAATATTGAAAAATTTAAGACATTTGAATTACTGTTCATAAAAATCGATAACAAATTATTATCGAAAACAGTTATATCATCACAAGGTAACGCCGTCAAAGAGGGCATTTTCGCGACTCTTTACTCTTAACGGGAATCGTATCGTGGTATAGCGAATTGATTTGTCGGTTAGTTTACCAGGAAATTCTTTGTGCTACTCCAACTCTCCGAAAATGTTCCAAAAGTCAGCTGCTGTTCTCTTGGCTCCTGCCATCCGTAATGCCATGCAACGTCGTTGCCAATCGGTGATTTCATCGCCACCAACCCAAAAAGTTTCCTCTGCTGTAAGTTTCATAGAAAATTTTTTTCGACAAAAAAGATGGCCTTAGAGGTTACGTAAACACAGCACCACTTGCTGCGGTTATTTTTTCGTTCATACAAAGGATGCGGAAAATTCTAATGTGTTATATTTTTATTTTCTAGGAAAAACTTGTTCTCGGCGGTGGCATGTTTGTCTCCACCTTGGTCATTCCTGCTTGGGTTTTGTATCACATCCGTGAATACCGTGGCTTGAAGTAAATCCCTCCCCAATTCCACAATGGAACAGCTTTATTATTTAGTTAAAAATTATGTGTTATAAGATAGTAAAGTTTGGAGTGAAACAATTTTGATTGGTAACAACTTCTAAATAAAAAACGAAGAAGAGTACTTTCCAATCAGAAGGAAGTGCACGAAATTTTTGTTATTGTTTTTGTTGGTATTAAATGTTTCTTTTTTTAGTTATAGAATTTTCTTGAAGTTGACCGAGCGTATGTTCGCACATAGCTGCTGCTTATCATGTGTTATGTGAAGTCGTGATATATTTGAAACTATTGAGGCTACACTGGGCGGCTAGGTCAAGAATATTTTCTGAGTGACCATTATCCACCATTTAAGGGACCTTAGATTTATAAGAGTGGATTTTTTTAAAGAATATCTTCTAAGGGTCCTCCAGACCAAAAGGCGTGGATTTTTAATAAATATTTCCAAGAGTCCTCAAGACTAAAAGTAGTGGATTTTTAAAGAATGTTTTCTAAGTGTCTTCCAGACCAAAAGGCGTTCATTTTTTAAAGAATATTTTCTAAGAGTCCTGAAGACCAAAAGGCGAGGATTTTTTAAGAAAACTTTGTAAGGGTCCTCCAGAACAAAAAGCGTGGATTTTTTAAAGAAAAATGTCTAAGGGTCCTCAAGACCAAAAGGCGTGGATTTAAAAAAAAAATCTAAGGGTCTTCAAGACCAAAAGGCGTGGATTTAAAAAAAAATCTAAGGGTCCTCAAGACCAAAAGGCGTGGATTTAAAAAAAATTCTAAGGGTCATCAAGTCTAAAAGAGAGATTTTTTTAAGAATCAAAAACCTCAAAATACTTCACTTTTTATTTAAAGCATAATTTTTTATTATTTAGTATTCAGTGGCAATTTGTTTTGGGTTTGCAAATAATAATTCTCATCAAATGCAATGGGCCACAATAAATTGATTTTCGGTTTTTTTCGACAATTGAGAATTACGTATAAAATATTAAATAAATGACATTTCAATTGATTAATAATATAGTAATAAATGATTCATTAATATATATGCAAAGGGTGTGTATGTGTTTTCCCTTGGCATTACACTTAATTTTACTGCTTGTCTGAGGAATTGTTGCCGCCATCGTTTTTCTTGTCCTTATCTTTATCCTTGCTCAATGAGCCCACAGCATCACGTACAGCTTCCGATTGTGGATCTACACCGGGTAGATTTTCTAAAACACTTTGTAGAAATGCTGGATCACCAATAACTTCCGAATAGTCTTCATCAACTTCCATGGGGGCGTTTTCTTCGGTTTTGGGACGTTTGGCCTGTTGGGTAACGGTGTCATCAGCTGAAAAAGAAATGGGGGTATTATTAATTTGTTTGGAAAACAATTCCATTACAAATATTTTGTATGTATTCACCTGCATCCTGCATAGACATTTGCATGGCAAAAGCAATCTGTTCCTCTTCGGTCATATTGGCAAAATCTGGTAAATTATCATCACTCTATAAAGAGGAATAATTAATTTCAAATTATTTTCATTAAAAAATTAAATTCATTGAAGCCCAATTAACCATATTTTAACTGTTATTGGTCCTAAGGGTTTGCCAAATAGTTGAAATACAAATTTATTTCGGTTTTCCAAACCTACCTGTTCAGTAGACATAGCCAAGGCCCGCTGCAACATTGCCTCCTCCGAATTTGGTTCATCAACGGCCGCTGTACTGGCAGCCGTGGTGGCTGTACCACCTGAACTGGTTTTTTCACCACCAGCTGTCTCTTCGGTACTGGCTCCAGCAGCACGTCTTTGTTCCTCCTCTTGACGTTGTCTTTGTTCCTCCATAGAGACACGTAAAGCCAATGCCAATTCCGGATCTTCATTGGGATCGACACCAAATTCAAATCCGGCTCCACCCAAACCAGCACCACCCATACCATCTTCTCCCTGGATAATTGGTGAAGACAACAAGGCATCCGATAAACCTGAACCACGAGGAACACATACCAAATGGGAACTGGTGCCATCTTTGCCATTCAAGGTATTAATGAAGGCTTGTAAAATTTCATTATTACTCTCATGATCACCAAAACTGACAATATCAACATTGACTTTTTCCTTTTTCAAACGTTTGGCCAATTTTACCAAATCGGCTTCTTCACTTTTAATGGGGGAGCCAACAAAAACAACAATACGCATTTTATGATTTTTGCCCTGACGATGTTTCAAAACCAACTGGAAGAAAATAAAAAAAAATTGCAAATCACCCTCTTCTTAGGAATATTTTTTGAATATACTTACATGAGCAATACGTATGCCGGTCAACAGATTGATTTCACCCTTTGGTTGTACCAAATGCATTTTTGAGAAAATACGACCCACATCACTGGTCAAGGTGGCCAAGACTTCCACGGTGCTGTGTAGAAATAAAATATTAATTAATTACTTGTCTAAAAAAAGAATCGAATTCACTTACTTGGAAATTGTCATAAGACCAACATTGTTTTCGGGATTGGAACGTACTTTGGTGAGACAGACAAGATTGATGCCATCTTTTTGAACATTTAGCCGAGTTGGAAAGTAATCACCATTACGCTGGTAATCACTGTTATCAAAACTGTAAATAAATACATTTAAAAGAATTAATAAAATTTAAAATTGCATTTTTTGTTGTATTTGCAAGCGACAATGGTCATGCAAAATCAAGCAGACGGACAATTTGGACTACTTCAAAGTCATGGCAATTAAATTGAGACAAATACGCTATTCCCTTAGGGTTTTTAGCTTATTTCACTCCCTATCCCTTTATCCACCTATTTATTGTAAATTTTATTTAATATTTACCATATCATAGTACTTTCCAAAACCATTTTTACGGTTTTTTGAAGATTTTATTTTTGTTAAATATTTTTGCTTGTCACTTCCCACTGAATAGTAATTATTTGCATTATCACTTTGAAATGACAGCTGACAGCTTTAATCGTAAACAAAGTACTTAGGATTTCATAGTCATTAGCTTTTGCATGCAACGAAATGGGGGATACTTGTGTGTTGGCGTACAGTGAGTGTCAAAATACTAGGAAATACAAAAGGGGCTCGATTTTTGCAGAGAAAACAGAATGTAAAGGCTAGATGAATATAGAAAAGAGTGAAAATTTACATATTTCCTTCCATTGTGAGGGTAATTTTCAAATTTCAGCTTCCAATTTTATGCGTTTTTTTATCTTTCAAAATTTTTCAGATGAATTTCAAATATATTAATTTTTTAGGTATTTAATAAAAATTTCTTTTATAACGTAATTTTTGCAAACACATGTTAAGTTAAAAGTCGACTTATAAATTCCTTCCTTTTTCTTTCAAATTCCATGGTTGAATTCCTAACTGAAGCCGATTCACCATACAATACAAAATTAAATTCATTCATTATCTCGAATTGTTCGATATCCTATGCTAAATCGAGATAATTTGAAACGTAACTCTGTTTTTGCACCAAAAAATAATGGCTTCTCTTTAAAGTATGCTATAAAATATGTTACAATTCAAAAAGAAAAAATATGACAGCTGTTGAAACCAAAGAAATGTGTTTGTATACGTAAACAAATAACAGCTGATAAAATAAAAACTTTATATAAACTTGATTAACTAAACGAGTCGATTTAAAAAGCCCAGTCTAAATGCGCTTCAATAAAATGTTTAGTTCTTGCTTTCCATTTGTCCTGACCCTTTCTAATTGTACCATGAAATTTATTTTAATTATTTGTTTATGTATTTTTTATTTGTCACAATTTATTATATACTTATGGCTGTATTTATAATTTTAAATGATTTAATTAAAATTTCCTTTATTTATTACGTCATTCATTTAAACCTGGCCTTCAAACATCAAGTCAAAGTCGATTTAGAAAACCCTACCTTTTTCCTCCTAATTCCATCACACACATCAAGGGTAATCATTTCACAGTGAATTGTTTTTTGTTTGATTCATTCCCTATTGCACGACATTCTTTATTGTGTCGTCGCGAATTTACAATAACTTTTTCATTCGTCCAATCCAGTAGTCAGTCAAGAACGCAATAGATTCTTCAGACTGCCTACAAACAGACACACAGACAGACATTGGAAGGAAACATTTCACAAGGAATATAAAAAAGAAGGTGAGGAGAGCAAATTATTTAATTATTCCAGTCCAGTGAGAGTAAATTTACCGTAATTAAAAACAAAATTAATCATGAAAAAGGCCAATGCAAATTTGCTTGTTTGTTGTTTTTGGAAGAAGCAATGAAAAAAAGAAAAAATGACGAAATGCTGAATAAAATGTAAAGCAAAATGCAAAGCACAAACGACAATTGAGCCTTCAGCCAAGTGTGTTTGTTGTTGTTTGTTGCTTGAAAATAATAAACACATCAAGTAAATTTGTAATTAATCAAAAATTTCATTACTTTTTTTCGATTTTTTGTAGAGAATCATATATATTTTTGGCATTTGAATTTATTGCAACAAGAATTTCAAAATTTTGTGTATTTATTTCAATTTTTTATTTTTACTTTTTTCAATTCATACACACAGTAACAGCTAGCAAACAGTGCAGCCAGCAGCAGCAGACGCTTCAAAAAACCAGTAAGTCGTAAGGACGAAAGGAGTTTGTTGCTCTGTGTCGTTGTCCCTGAAGACGAAGAAGACAACAACAGTCATATCCGTTTCCTTTGTGTGTGTGTGTTGTTTGTTGTTTTTGGGTACGATTGCGAAGTGAAGTGAAGAAAAAAGAAAAGGTGAGCAAGCAAAGGCAGGCGCTGTGCTTTTTTAAGCCTGCTGCAGCAACAACAGTTAAATACAAATTACAACAACAACAATTGTTTTGTGTCGTAAACAAAGAAACCCAAAGGATAGCAGCAGCAGAACCTTTGTTTCTTGAAATCAGTTGTTGAACTGTTGAAAAACTACCACCACCACCAAGAACACAGTTTTTAGCTTCAATCGCCATCATGAGTACGGCCACTTTAAATGTTGCAACTTCAACAAATCTACTGCAACAACAACAGCCTTCAACATCCACAGAAGATGAAGCTTCATCGTCATCATCTGCAGCAGTGACAGCCGGGAAATCGCGTGGTCCTGAATTTGGTGATGATGTTGCCTCAACGTCCACCTCACATTTACTGCCCACATCTCCCGCCATTTGTCGTTACTTCCAAAAGGGAATTTGCCGTTTTGGGTCGGTTTGTCGATTTTCACATGACGTTCCAGTTGGTGGTGAGGTAATCAGTCAATCAAATGGCACAAATAATTCCTTCACCTCAACCACGACCACCACCCCGTTCAACAGTGAACGTCCCAGTACCAGCCGTCGTAACTGGGCAAATGCCCCAGCCTTTATACCGGCAGCAGATCAGGCAGGTGGTGAAGTTTTATCCGACTCCAATGTTGTTGATCCCAATCACTCTTGGGCCGATGTGGTCTTTGGACCCACAGTCCATGCCCGCACCCGTCTGCCACCCCATATGGCAAGTGGTGGTTTTCATGAAATTGCCAGCATTGATGAAGAGTGTCCCTATGAAAGTCCTTGTCCGTATGGTATGTTTTGTATGTATGCCATACACATGGAGCTGTGTGAAATGTGCGACCAATTTTGCCTCCATCCAAGCGATGAAGATCAGCGAAAGAAACATAAAAAGGAGTGTTTGCAACAACATGAACAGGCAATGGAGCTTTCGTTTGCCATAGCTCGATCCAAAGATAAGACATGTGGTATATGTTTCGATACAATTATGGAAAAGGCTGGAAGGGAGAAACGTTTCGGTATCCTACCCAATTGTAATCATATCTTTTGCCTAGAATGTATACGTAAATGGCGTCAGGCCAAACAATTTGAACATAAAATAACCAGGTGAGTTATCGATTTACATTTTTTTATCAACAATAGGCTAAGTAAGTAAGATCTTGATTATAATGATATAATTGTTTTCTTGGGGAAGTCTGATCAAAGAACAAGGCCTTAAATCCAGGTTCATATCTCTGGATCAACAAGAAAGAAAGTATACCATTGGGGTCTTTATTATCATATATATAGCTTTTAAGGGCTTGTCGCGGATCGTAGAAATAGAGACCCTGATTACAATGATATATTTTTTTTCTTACGGTAGTCTTTCCGCAAAAGAAAGCCTTTAATCCATGCCCAAAGACAGTAAGACAATTTTTGATAAACTTTTCAATCCGATCTGCAACCGGTCCTTAAACAAGTAGTGATCTTAATAATTAAATATTTGATATATGTTCCAGATCCTGCCCCGAATGTCGTGTATCCTCAGATTTTGTTTGTCCCAGTGCCTTTTGGGTTGAGACCAAAGAGGAAAAAGATAAACTCTTGGGAGATTATCGAAAAGCTCTTGGTATCAAAGACTGCAAGTACTTTAAAAAGGTGAGTTTTCTTTTTTAAATATTTAATTATTTCATTCCCATCATTTAATTCCATCCCAATTTTCTTTTTGATTATTACAGGGTGATGGCAAATGTCCATTTGGCAATAAATGCTTTTACAAACATGCCTTGCCCAATGGTGAATTGGTCGATGTTGGCTGTCCCAAAAAAGCTCGTAAAATTCATCGCAGTAATAATGAAATTATAAATTTACTTGATGTAAGTATTATGACGAATCTCTAATATGTATTTATTTTACGCTCTCACACACACACATTTATATATTTATGCACACACACACAATTTCTTTGTGTGTTCAACAAACAAGCAAACAAAAAAAGCAAAAAAGGTCAATGATATCTGAAAACAGCTAAACAATAACATAAGGAATATAAAGGACTATTGTTTGTTGTTGTTGCAAGGATGAAAAGTTGTTGCGTGTGCGCTGAAAAGTGGTGGAATTTTGTGATTAAAACCAGATCAGGAGATTTTCAAACTAGTTACTTGTTGTATATTTTATTTAAAGGCATTTGTAGGGAAACATTTGAAATTATTTTTATAGACTTACAGATCACTTGTGTTCAATGTAGACTTTCGGTGAACCAAGAAAGTATAGAATTTGGTAATCAGTGTTAAATATTTATGTCAATTTGACCATTGTCCGTTTATTGGAGATTTCCCTCACAAAATGGGGAACAAAACCTTTTTAAGGATCTTTGCTGCTGTTCTTTACGATTCTCTTTTGAATTTCTTCCCCCTTGTGACTTTTCATACCTCTCTCTCTCCAAAGAACTTGGTAGAGTTGCTTACAAAAGTTGCATGGCAATGTCAGCCTTGATGGCCAATATAGAGGAGGATTTGTTTCAATAGTGTCCATTTTTTTTTTTATCAAAAATGAGAACTTACAGAATACCCCTCCTTTTTAATATTGGCATACAGGGGGCTCCCCATTTTAGGGTTTTCAAAGGACTCCGACTCATTTTCTAACCTAGAAAACATCCTGGAAGAGAATCATTTTAGGAATATTGAAGGTCTTTGTCTCATTTTACATTTGTGGTGGTTTTGAAATTTAATCTATCGTTTTTGCAAAGAATAGAAGACCACCTGTATGAAATTGTGCTCTACAGTTTCATATTTTTGTGACATATTCCCCCCTGTTTATAGCCACCGCACAATGAAATAAAATCATTGGCCTCTTTTGGTTATTGTTTTTATATACATATACAAATGCATAATTTTTTGACACATTCGGAATGGCTAAAATGGTTGGTCGTTTTGGAGTGAAATGGGAAAATGTTTCGGTTGATTTATTTATGTTTGGAAATTAAAGTTTTTTCATCCTCAAATAAATTAAAAAAAAAACGAAAATTCGTAAAATAATAATTAAAAAAAGTTTAAAATATATATTTGGAGTTAATAAATACAATTTTAACTACCTCAAATTTTCCACTATTATTGAAAAGGACTCGAGTAGTACCAATTCCTAAATCTGCTATAGTCCGTGGTCCTGAGGATTTACAACCAATCTCAATCTCAACTCCCGGCATTGTTGAAAATTTGTGAACATATATTAAAAGACCAAATTTTATCGCACACAGCATGCATTTCGACGTGGTCAGAGCTCAACTTCTCGGTTGTTACACCTAACAGAATCTATCAGGAGTGACTTAATAATAAGAAAATGTGCTCACTTATTTCATTGGATATATCCAAGGCTTTTAATTCGATTTCTTATAAATAACTTAAAAATAAATGCATTTTTTCCTTTTCAGCCTGCAAAATGTCGTATGTTAGCGTTAGATCACAATATGTTGAGATGGGGTATGTTACATCTAGGTGTGCTTCTTTTTCTTCAGGGGTACCTATAGGACTATATATCTAAATCTGAACCGATTTTCACACGTCATTATAGACTTAATTCAGTACGCTATAACAAATTTCGTGCAAATCGAAAGATATATAGGAACTTTGGTATACAATTTACCTTAAATCGGACGAAGATATATATGGGAGCTGCATCTAAATCTGAACCGATTTTCACGAAACTTAACTCACATCATTCTAGACCTTATTCATTATTACGCTCTGCCAAATTTTGTGCAAATCGAAAGATATATAGGGACTTTAGTGGGCTATTTACCTAAAATCGGGCGAAACTATATATGGGAGCTATATCTAAATCTGAACCGATTTTCACGAAACTTTGCACACATCATTCTAGACGTTATTCATTACGCTCTGGGCTATTTACCTAAAATCGGTAAATTTTTCCCAATTTCAATAGGGTTCGTCCTTGGGCCAAATAAGTGACCTATGCCAAATTTCATCCAATTCGGATCATAACTGTGAATGTATTTTTTTACAATTTAACGTGGGCAGGCGGACAGACGGCCGGACATGCATAAATCGACTCAGAAAGTGATTCTATGCATATTCTCAAAAGGAACCACATTGGTCTATCTCGTTTCCTTCTGCATGTTTCAAACATATGCACAAAGACATAATATCCTGTACCACAGAGTGGTGAAGGGTATAAAAAATGCAAAAAATATTAATTAAAAGTATTGAATAAAAAGCTAAGATCGATTGATTAACACATAAGGTTAGGGTTAAGTTTGGGGATGTGCAGTCACTTATGTGGCTGCAGCACTCTTAGACCGGTTAGGTCCGTTGTGATGATCCACGAGAAGAGAAGAGTTAAGGACAGATCTGTAGGGGAGAGAAGATTGGGGAAATAAAGAGAGATGAGAAGCTTACAGAAATATTTAAAAAAAGGTAAAATTGGAATTATAGGAATCAGATGGAAGATGTGTTACGTGTCAAGGTTGTACGTTCCTAACCACTTTAGGTTTCTAATTATGCTGTAGATTAGAGCAGGTTCGGTTGTTGAGAAGAAGCTGATACTGGTAGAAAATGAGCACCCACTAGTCTGTGCCGCCTGTAAGCCAGGACTGGGCAGTGACACAGGAGATGCTCAATTGCCTCCGTCTCCTCCTCGTCAACGCAGAGTCTACAGTAATCAATTGCATTAACACATAAAGGGGCTTCTATTTAAATCATTAATTTAATATTACAAAACAAAAAATTAAAAAAAATGTTAAAAATTACTAATTAAAGTATTAAATAGAAAAGCTAAAAATCAATTGCTTAACATCAATTTTTTAATTATTTCAAAAAATTGCAAAACGACCACTATTTAGCCAACCGAAAACAATTGTCAAAATAATTATATGTATACTTAAATATTTTATTATATATCTATTCAATTATTCTTATTTAATTTTTTGGCAAGTTTTATTTTCCTTTTTTTAACATTTTTAAACAATTTTGTTGTTATATATGTTTTAATTATTACTTTTATAAACAAATTAAAAATTTTTTTTTTTTTTTTTTAATTATTCACATTTTTTGATGTGTTCTCTCTCTTTAAAAAAAATTATCGTCGTCACACACATAAGTGTTTGTTGTGTAATAACTGTAGATAAATAAATGCCTTTTTTTAAATTGAAAATCAAATCGAATTAATAAAAAAATATTTTTTGTTTTTTTCTTCGTTTTTCCCTTATGCTGTTTTTCTGCTCTTTCTCTACGAAAAAAAATACCAAATAATTTATAAAAAATTCATAAAATTTAAACAGGTGTGATATCCTAAAGCATTAGCTACAAAACCAACCGTCTACACAAATTTCTCCCACTCTCTTCTCTCAAGAAACACAAAACAAAAATTAAAGGTTTTCAAACGAAACAAACAAACCAAAAAAACAAAATAAAGTACCATTGCTTTTATTCGCAAATCGTCATTGCCATCATTCAAAAAAAAATTTAAAAAAAAATGAAACAAACAAAACCAACAACCACCACCTCAAAATACCACACACACAAACAAACATTCAATACAAATTAAAAAAATAATTAACTGATGTGTGAATAAAATGTAGACATTTAAGCGTTTTTAAATGTGGTTTATTTCGTTTAAATATTATATATACATAACTATATATACAACAAACATACAAACAAACAATTATGATGATAGTATTTTTAAGCTGTGAAACAAAACAAAAAAATTAACTAAGAAACGAACAAGAAAATACAAATTATCAACAACAATAATTAAGTCATATGAAAAATTATTTTAATTTTTATTTATATCTACAAGAAAAATAGAATAATTGCCTAAAAATCAATCCTCCCAACTATTTATTCCAAATTAACATTGTATTATTATGTAGATGTAGGTCACAAATGATTATTAATTTTAATAAAAAAAATACATTAAATTAAGGCTTTAAAAGCAAAACGTAACAATTAAACAAACATTCAACTAACAAAACAATTTCCAAAATCACAACAAATTTCAAATGTGTTCTATTTGAGGAGAAGATAAAGAAAATAATTAATAACTAAAAAACCAAAAGCTTTAAAAACAAACATAGAAATTAATATTGTAGTTTTTAATTTGTGTTAATCATCTTCAATATATATTTGTGTATAATTTATTAAAATTGATATGTTTTTTTTAAATTAATTTTTAGTTAAATTTATTTTTATTATGTTAATTTTTTTAATGCCAATTGATTGAATTCAAAATTCCATGCTTTTGGAAGATCTCCTCTTTAATTTCCTAATTTCTAACGTCCTATCAAAACTACCGTCTGCAAGATACAAAAATAAGGAAATGAAGAACTAAATTTCATATTCTACTTTAGAATATAATAAATATTTAATTTTTATATCCTTCACCAAACTGTGGTACAGGGTATTATGTGCATATGTTTGTAACAGGCATATAGCAACTGATCTAGCAACTGATGACTCAACCAAACCACCCATATGTCATTTTTACCGAAAGAGCCTACGAACTTTGGCACAACGAACCTAGGTGCAACGTGTCAAGATCCATTTGGCCGACTCTGTATACCAAAAGAATGCACTCACTGTTGAACCTGAGCAAAGCTGAAATTAGAGTGATGACAGGAATCATTACTGGTCACTGCAATATCAGGGATTTTACTAGTAAATGGGATCTTGATGCAATTGATTACTGTAGAGTCTGCGTTGACGAAGAGGAGACGGAGACAATTGAGCATCTCCTGTGTCACTGCCCAGCCCTGGCTTACAGACGGCACAGACTAGTGGGTGCTAATTTTCTACCGTGCTTTTTCTCAACAACCGAACCTGCTCTAATCTGCAGCATAATTAGAAACCTAAAGTGGTTAGGAACGTACAACCTTGACAAGTAACACATCTTCTGTCTGATTTCCATAGCCATCGACCTTTAGTTCAATCTTACCTTTTTTATATATTTCTGTATGCTGCATATCCCCAAACCTAACCTAACCTGTAACAGGCAAAAGGAATCGTGATAGACCCATGGTTCCTTTTGAGAATATGCATACAATCACTTTCTATGTCGATTTATGCATGTCCATCCGTCCGTCCGTCTGTCTGTCCATGTATTTTTGTTACCAAAGTACAGGTCGCATTTATGATCCGAATTGGATGAAATTTGGCATAGATCACTTATTTGGCCCAAGGATGAACCCTATTGAAATTGGAGAAAATCGGTTCAGATTTAGATATAGCTCCATATGTAGTTTCGTCCGATTTTTTGTAAATGATGCACCAAACTCCCAATATTTGTCCGATTGGGACAAAATTTTGCACAGAGTACTGTTTTAGGTCCAGACTGATGTCTGCGAAGTTTTGTTAAAATCGGTTCAGATTTAGATATAGCTCCCATATATATTTTCGTCCGATATTAGGTAAATAGTGCACCAACGCCCCTATATATCCTTCGATTTGCACGAAATTTTGCGTGGGATACTGAATTTTGTTAAAATCGGTTCAGATTTAGATATAGCTCCCATATATATTTTCGTCCGATATTAGATAAATAGTGCACCAAAGGCCCTATATATCCTTCGATTTGCACGAAATTTTGCGTGGGATACTGAATTAAGTCTAGAATAATGTGTGCTAAGTTTCGAGAAAATCGGTTCAGATCTAGATATAGCTCCCATATATATTTTCGTCCGATTTAAGGTAAATTGTGCACCAAAGTACCTACATATGTTTCGATTTGTACGAAATTTGGCACAGAGTACTGAATTGAGTCTATAACGATGTGTGCTAAGTTTCCTGAAAATCGGTTCAGATTTAGATATAACTCCCATATATATTTTCGTCCGATTTAAGGTAAATGGTACACCAAAGTCCCTATATATCTTTCGATATGCACGAAATTTGGTACAGCTTAATCATTTAGGTCTAGAATGATGTGTGTTAAATTTCGTGAAAATCGGTTCAGATTTAGATATAGCTCCCATATATATTTTCGTCCGATTTATTGTAAATGGTGCATCAATGTCCCTATAATTGTATAAGATTTAAAAATGTCGAACAAATTATTATGTGTTTTTTGTTGACATAAATATTTTTTCAATTTTGTTTTAAAATTAATTTTTTTAATAATTTTTGTATCCAAAAAAATTTTAACAAACTGAAAAAAAAAACTATTTTCCTCTATTTTAAAAGATAATGTTTTTTGCTCTGAGCAGTTTCAAATTTGAAAACAAATATTTATTGAGGATCTATTTTGTTTAAATATAAAATTGTTTAATGGCAAAAAAAAAAATGATAATTAAAAAATGTGGTGGTTTGATACGATCTCTCATTATAAATATTCTATTCTAGGGATTATTTATTTATTGCTATATTTTTTGGCATATTATTATTTTTCAATATTTTATTTTTTAATTATGTATTTGGCTTAATTTTTTGGCATATATTATATTATTATTTTTTGTTATTTATATTTTTAATCACAATTTTTCTTTTTTGAAAATTTTATTGAAAAATCACACACACTCTCACATTCTATATTTTTCATCACCTATATTGTTTTTTTCTTTTTTCTCATTATAGATCTATCTGTATGAATTTCTTGAACAGCGTAATTTGAATTTCCTTGATTTTTTTGAAAGTACAGGTGATGAAGGCGAAGATTCATCTGATGATGAGGATTAAAAATACAAAATCTAAAAAAAAAAACACAAAACAAAATAAATTAGAATTAAAAAAATTAAATTTATAAAAAAAGAAGAGAGATAAAAAATTTATGGTTATATTATAAATGTATACAAAGGCAAAAACGAAAGAAACAAAATTCAAAATTGTAAGTGTAAGTGTATAAGTTGGCATAAGTCTCTCTCTTAAACTGTTGCTCTTTCCTCCCCATTTAATATTTCTCAAAAAAAAAAACAAAACAAGAGCTGGTAAAAAATATTATTATAACACCCACAAAAAAACAAAATATCAAAACAATACAAAAACTAAAAAAACTTTCAATAGTTATAAAAAATGTGAAACAAAAACTAAGACCAAAAAAGCGAAAAAAATATCAAAACAAGCAAAATTCAAAAATCCATCAAAACAAAATAGTACAGATTTCAATTACAAAAATGAAAAAAACAAAATAAATTCCTTTCAAACATTTCTTAGTCCTTCCATTACATTTTCAATACTTGCAAACCAAAACACAAACAAACAAAAAAGGCTTATGAAAAAAAATTAATATTAAAAAAATATATATATAAAAAAATCACACACAAATAATCAATGTCTATTATAGGATTAAAAACAAAAAGAAAAAAACTAACAACAAAATGAAAAACGAAAATTACCACAACAAAGAAATGTAACATTTTTCGTCCTGTCTGCGTGGAAGCCTCTTATTCCAAAAAAAAACAAAAAAATTAAAAAATGAAACTACACACCATCATCATGTCATGTCATACCACCCATAATAAATAATACTTATATATGTATATCGAAAAAAAACCACTATGCAACGAAAATTATTAGAAAAAAACAAAAATTTCCAAAAAAGCAATATATTTAATAATTTAATTTTTTCCATACACAACCACGTTTTAATGTTTATTATATATATTTTTTTGTAAAAGCAATTTATGTTGATACTTTTCCCCCTCTCTGTATGTCCCCTTAGAAATTTAATTTTTTGTTTATTTTTTTTCTCATTATTCTTATTTTTTTGTTATATGTTTATGTGAATAGCATTTATTTTTTTCTAATATATTTCTTTTTTAAAAACATATGTTTTCATTGTTCCAAATATTTCTTTACAAAAAAACACAAATTGTTAATTTAATATGAAAATAAATTTGAAAAAGTCCATACAATAAAATTACGCCTAAAAATAGGCTTTAAAAAATGTTTTGTAACGAAATATGTTTTTTTAATTTAATTTTATTGTAGAATTGTAATTTCATTTCTTCTTTTTCAAAATTTGAAATTGAATGAAGTTGTTTATATTATTCTTAAAAACAAATCGAAAAAATATGAAAAATTGGAAATATTTTTTTTTTCAATTATTTTTGTTTTTTTTTTTTTTTGAAGAAGTGTTACACTACAACAAATAATATTTCTAATATATTAATAAAAATACTTGTTGAAACAGTTTGAATTAAATTCTAAAAATGTAAAATCCCAAAAAATGCAAAATAATTTTTAAAAAAGAAGAAGAAAAAATTTTCATATTTGTATAAAAAATAGTTTCTTTAGTTCAATTTTAAATATTTTATAGTTAAAAAAAATCTAAAACATGGCCATAAACATAATAAAAAATAATAAAAAATGGAAATTTTTTTTCAATTATTTTCCTCATTTTTTTTTTTTTTTTTTTTTTTTTGAAGAAGTATTACTCCAACATCAAATATTTCCAATATAATAATAAAAACACTTGTTTAAATAGTTTGAATTAAATTCTAAAAATGTAATATCCCCTAAAAAAATGCAAAATAATTTTTAAAAAAGAAGAAGAAAAAGGAAAATGTATTTGTAAAAAAAAAAATATTTTCTAAAAAATGAATAATTTTTAATAAATTTTTTTAAATTTATTTTTTTTTAAATTAATAATTTTTATAATATCTTTCATAAGAAATTCAAAATAATTTAAAAAATAATTCAATAAAAATACCCAATTTCTTAATATCCAAAAAAGCTAAATTTTGAAAAAAAATTTCAATATTCTTTCAAAAAAAAAAAAAAAAAAAAACCTTTTTATTCTGTTTTGTAATAATCATATTTTTTGTTATTTAATCTTGACTAAATTAGAAAACAAAAATATTTAAAATCTTTTTGAAACTGTTATTAAAAAAAAAAACATTTTTTAGAAATTATTTGGCATTTTTAGATTTCTATTTCCAATTCGATTTTGGTCAAATTTAAATTATGAATTTAGCATAATATGGTAAAATATGATATTTCTTCATTTTCTTTCACAATAAAATGCTCTAATTTTTATAAAAAAAAATCGAAGCCGAACAATTCAATTGAATTTGACTCTCAAACTCCTGACATTCAATATTTGTTGGATGACAATTTTAAATTGAAACTTTTTAACACTTTTTTTTCATTTTGAATCGAATCGAATAGAGTAGATACTCGCTGAATAATAATAAAAAAATAGTTAATTTTCAATTTGCACAGAACTTTAGAATTCGATTCTTTGTCTATATTTAAAAAGTATTTCAATCAACAATTTTTTTTTTAGATAAACAACTTCATCAGAATTCATTTGAAATTATTTAACTGATTTTGCTTAAATATAGAGTGTTGGGTAATTTGAATTTCAAAAAAAAAAAAAAAAAACAGTTTTCAAATCTGTTCAATTTCCAGTTTCATTTTTTTTCTTTGTTTACATAAGAGGTTTAATTCAATATTCTTATATTTCGAATAACAAACATACGTTTTTTTATTATCCCATAATGGCTTAGAATTAAAATGTACTACTTTTGATATTTTCTCTTAGGGAATTGCTTTTTAAAATTTTATTTTTTTTTAAATTCATTTCTTTCTCTTAGAGAAGAAAAAACGTCTGTCTATGTGATAGTTATCATCATCTTCATATTTATTAAGAAAAAAAATTGTTTAATATTCACCCTTATTACGGTTGGCGTTGTCGTGACGATAATTGGGCCCTGCCGCACTTATGAAAGTCGTTACAATACGCCAAATTTGTCGTGAAAGATTTTGTTTTTTTTTTGTTAATTAAATGGGATTCTTCCAAAAGCACAAGCGGTTTTTTTGTTATTTTCAAATTTTTTAATAGTTCAAATATATATATTTTTTACTTGTAATAATTTTTTAATACAATAATAATTTTTTTAATTAATGAAAACCCCCCGGTGATTTGTATTCCCCCACTGTATTCTGCCTCTACTATATATGTTACTTATCATACACTAGTACAATAACAACAATCACACAAACAAAGCTACATTAATTATAAATCCATATCTATATATTTACAATAATATTTGTTGTAATTTTTTGTTTCAATAATTTAAAAAAATGTTTTTAATTGTAAAAAAAAATATTTAAAAAAAAATGTAATCTATGCTGTAATTTTTCCTTTAAGTATAAAAACCCCTTTTAAAAAATTCAGTTTTTTTTTAATTTAAAAAAAAAATTAATATGGGTTTAATCATCATTTCTTTAAGTGTAAAAAAAACTTGTTTAAAAATTTGTGTAAAAATTTTCTATTTTTTTAAAATTAAGAAAAATTAATTTATTTTTTGTAAAATGTCTTTAAAAAATAATTTGTTCAATTTTGATATAAAAACACTTTTTTTTAAACATTTGTGTTAAAAAACTTTAATATTTTTTTTAATTTTCAAAAAAAAAATTTTTTTGTAATATTTTTTCTTTAAGTAAAATAATAATTTGTTAAAAATTTTTATTTTTTATTATGTAGTAATATTATTTTTTAATATTTTCTTTAAGTAAAAACTACCTTGTTAATTGTTATTAAAAAAAACTCAAACTATGCCATTGTAAAGAAACAAACAACAACAAAACAAAACATAAAAACTTAAATACGTTTACTATCCCCACAAATTGTTTTCTTTGTAAAACAGCCTTAGAACTGTGAAATATATTAAAAAAATACTATACATATTATATGCAAATTTTTCTTAAATACCAAAATAAATACATAAAAAACAAGAACACATAAATGCCTAATATAAACAAATAGTCTAATAATTTTTTTTTTAATAAAAAAATACTTTTTTATTTTATAATAAAAAAATAATAATACCAAAAAAAAAATAAAATAAAATAAAGAATAAATAAAATAAAAAATAAAAATTATTATAAAATAAAAAACCATTTTTGTTTTATAATAAAAAAATATTTTTATTTTATAATAAAAAAATATTTTTATTTTATAATAAAAAAATATTTTTATTTTATAATAAAAAAATGTTTTTATTTTATAATAAAAAAAAATAATACCAAAAAAATGAAATAAAATAAAAATTATTATAAAATAAAAAACATTTTTATTATATAATAAAAAATATTTTTATTTTATAATAAAAAATAATAATACCAAAAAAAAAAGAAAATAATACCCCCTCTTCCTAAACCATGGTTTTGTGAATCTCTTATTACAATTTTTATTTTTTTTAATAATATTAAAATAATATATATATTTTTTTAATGAGTTTTTCACACAAAACTCAAATAAAATGTTTTTCTTTAATTAATTTTTAATTTAATAAAAAATATATATTTCTTTCAACAAAAAGGATTATAACCTTACAAACTCCTACTTAACCTTATATATAAAAATAATATATATAATTATGTATGTATAGCAAGTAAAAATAATGTGGTATGGGAAAAAATATTAAAACAAAATATTTATGATAAATAAAAACAAAACCAAACTAAAATGCTAACATTTCAAAATACCTCTAAAAACAAAAAAACAAAAGAAACCAACAAAATACAAAAAGAATTCAAAACATAAATGTTTACTACCAACTACTACTACAAACAAAACAACAAAAAATAAATAAAAAATTAAAAATAAGAAAAGAAAAAGGAATATTTGTTCAAATTAACCTACAAACAAAAACAACAACAACAAAACCTAACAAATATTATATTACCTAAAACTTATTATTAGATTTTTTATTACTCTTAGTTTTCTATTTTATTATTTTTTTATATGTACCGAA